TTTAAGAAGGGAGGCTGAGGGAGTTTGTTTCTGTTATCAAGAGGGGGAGAAAAGAAAAGCATGAACAGGTTACCATGGAGAGTGGCTGGATGATAGGGAAGGGGGTTGCACGTGGGAGTGATAGGTGAATCAGAAGAGAAAACCTTGGAGGTAGGAGTGATGAGAAAACTTCCCAGAAGGCTACACGGCAGCCTGGGAACAGGAGACGAGAACTTGAGTCTGGAAGCCAAGTGTGGTGATTATCTCACAGAATCCCATGCATGATTCAGTTTGTGGAAACAGTTATTGAAGACAAGTAGGGTGAATGCCTGCCCAGCACCAGCTCATGCAAGACAGGAAGTGTTTGGTGAGGCCAAAAGGAAGAAGGGCAGAGAGCTTTCTGAGTCTGCAGTCTGTATATAGTTGAGCTTTGGGCTCAATGGATCAAGACTGGCACATGAAAGTACCATAGAGGAGCATATAAGGAGGCATCAGCTGCCTAGGTAAGGAAGAAAAGAAGACTTCCATTCCCTCAAGATAGGACACTTGTGACTTGCTAATCCACGGAATCTTCTCCCAAAAGGTAGAGGGAATATAAAGCCTGGCTCCCTATTCTTTGGGATCATTGGGTAACCAGTGAAACATAGGGAGCTTCCTATGAAAGCACACCCCACATATATACGTACATATAAGCATACAAATGTACAAAGACCAATTGCCTGTGTCAGAGTCTAGAAAGTACCCAAAGGCCATTCCTGGTCCTTCAAGGACTCCGTGGTTTCTATTTAAAACCCTTTGCTCTTCTGGACTTGTCAGTTGTCATCAATCTGGAAGAGCTAACTGGTGAGGCAGTCTTTGTTACCTTTTCTGTAGCTGTGATAAAAGACCCTACCAAAAGGAACATAAGGTTTATAGTTTATAGTTGGTTTATAGTTCAAGGGTACAGCCCATTGTGGCAGGGAAGTCATGGTAGCAGGACCATGAGCCAGCTGGTCACATTTCCTCTGAATTGAGAAAGCTGAAGATGGATGCTTTTTCTCTGCTCACTTTCTCCATTTTATACAATCCAGGATCTTAGGACAGGGAATGGTGCCACCCACTGTGGGTGGATCTTCCTACTTCAATGAAACTAGTCAAGATAATCCCCCACAGGCATGCTCAGGTGCCCATCTCCCAAGTGACTCTAGATCTCATCTAGCTGACAAAGGTATTAGCCATCACAGAGGAGCTCTTCAGAGGAGACGTCCATCTCTTCTCATAGTGTCCATCTGAGAGGAAGGGGAGGCCAGGTGTACAAAACCTGGCTTTCAGCAGACAGCAGAGTGGCTGAGACCGCAAAGCTGTGATTTCATGAATGGTAGATTCTGGAAGGAAGCCTTGGGAAGCCAAATTCTACCTATACTAGAGCCAATGACTCCACGTAGAAACAATAGTAGTCAGGGGAGCCTGGAGAACTAACTCTTGAGGGGCTCCTATTGTGGGAGGTCAAGAAGAGGAATTAGGAAAGAGATACAACATTTCTGCTGATTGGGCTTTATGAGAGCCGTGTTAGGAGAAGTGAGCAGGCCCTCTGCTGTGAGCCCACGTGATACTGGCTGTATAAGATGGTAGCGACAGAGCCCTGCTCCCTAGCTTCCATTCTTCAGCCCACCCGCCCCCAGGCCTGGGGAATAATGCTCCATTTGAAGGGAAATTAGCATTTATTAAATAACTGTTGTGTTCCCACAGCGAAGTGCTCCACACATTATAGGCATTATTTAATCTTCTGAACAACCCTGAGAGGAGCAGTTGGTATTTGTGTTTTGTAGACAAAAAGGCTAAGGTAGTGAACACCTTGTTTGTGACTTTGTGCGTGGTACGCAGATGGTGTGTGTGTGTGTGTCAGAGAAGGAGAGAGAGAGAGAGAGAGAGAGAGAGAGAGAGAGAGAGAGAGAGAGAGAGAGAGAGAGAGAGAGAGAGAGAGAGGAGAGATCTGCCTTTCTGTAAAGTGACACTTCCTGTGCCCCCTGCCCACATTCTCTAGATCTCAGAAATTCCAGGTGTGGCCTCTGACCTATCAGCCTGTGGTACTGTTTAGGCAGGTTCTAGAATCTTTGGGGTGCAGAGTCTAGGGAGGGTCTTGCAGGGTATAGCCTGACTCTACATCCTGCCTGAGCATTCTCTGCTCCATGGTCAGCACCCTAAGAGAAGACAATGCTGTAAGCTCCCTTCTGCATAGGCTAACCCTTGCAGCACTAACCCTTCCCCTCCACAATGGACTGTAGCCCCTAAACCATGAGTCAGAATGAGGAGTTGTGGGAACAAAGACCTTGGCCAGAAACCCACTCCTCCATCAGCCTGGGAGCAGGCAGTTGTGAGACAATGTTTACTAAAAACATGTTTACTGAAAACAATCCAGTGCCCTAAGAAATGTTTACCAGAGCTATAAGTTCCCTATAAGGGCTCACTCACTGAAACACCCTGACTTTGATCTTTCCAATGGCCAGCCACCTCTCCCTGCCCCCTGCTGATGCAGATTCTGGTGTCAGGGATTTAACCACCAGCCAGGAGGAGGAAGGGGGATATGTGCTTGTATGTATGGCAGAAGTTTTTCTGGAGGGAAGCGTTTCTTGGGAAGTTCTCCTGAGCCTTCTTGGGGAGCATAAAGATTTCTTAACGCAACCGACTGGTCTCTGTGTCATCAATCCCGACACCCTCGCCACATTCTGGGATACAGGCTGCGCGGAGGGCGCTGCAAGGAGTAAGTCCTTCTAAGGAAGACAGTTGTTCTGTCAGGCCTTTTGTTTTATCTTTTGTCACAGTGATAAGGAAGGCAACTAATGTACCCCCTTTCTTTTGAAGATGAGAAAACTGAAAGCCAGGGTTATCACATGAAGTCACTGGTTTATAAATGACAGCAGGAGGATTTATATCGAGGCAGGCAGTCTTCAGCCCTGAGCAGTTGAGATGTCTTTTTAAAAAGACCCCAGAGAGTGTGTGGTTTAGCTCCTTAGCTTTCTTTTCTGTTCCTTTTATTGTTGTTGTTTTGTTTATTTTATCTTTTTTTGTTTTTTGAGACAGGTTTTTCTCTGTGTAATCCTGGCTTCCTGGAACTTACTCTGTAGACCAGGCTAGCCTTAAGCCCAGAGATCCACTTGCCTCTGCCTTCTGAGTGCTGGGATTAAAGGCGTGTGTCACCACTGCCTGACTTAGTTACTTTTCTTATTGCTGTGACCAAATGCCTGACAAGAGTGACTTCAGGAATCAAAGGTTTCTTTTAGCTCCCAATGAGTAGGTGTTACCCATCAAGGCATCAGGAACAGGAGGCAGCTGGTCACATTGTGCCCACAGTGGAAAGTCAAGAAGAGAGAAATATTGATGCCCAGCTCACTTTCTCTTTACTAAGACAAGGACTACAAGTCATGGAGTCGGCGCATTCAGGGTAGATCTTCCTGTTATGTTAAAACTTTCTGGATATGCATGCATAGATATACACATAGGTGTGTTTCCATGATGATTCTGAACTCAGTGAAGCTGACAAGAGTAACCATCCCAGAATGCCTAACCAACCTCAAGGATCTCTAGCTTCTGGGGCTGAAGCATCCCAACATGGACACAGAAATCTGCTAGAGACCACAACAGTAAACTAGTATGTAGTATGTAGAAGAAAGAGCTGGAAAACCAGAGGAACATGTCTGGGAAAGGACATCAAGGAAGAGATTGCTCAAATTAGCACAACAAGATTGAACACAAGTGCAGGGATATTATAAAATGAGAGAAAACATAAACAAGACTAGAGTGCTAGAGTAATACATGCAAAGCTTTTATTAAAACATCCTCAACATTCAATGTGTTAGCTACTGGTATATAGGCAGCACCTATCAAGCACTTACTCTATGTTAAAAATTGAAGTTCCTAAATGTTATTATCCAATCAATGATTGTGAATTTACAGTGTGTCCAAAAATCCTTGGAAATGAATGAAGCATATAGGACATAGTGGCATATGCCTATGATCCCAGCACTTGGGATGTGGAGACAGGAGGATCAAAATTTGGAGGCCAGCCTGAGCTACATGAATCCTTCTCTTAAACAATAATAAACAAAACTTGGAGCTTGATCTATTTTCTCCTGAATCATTGCCTACATATAGTGGTCCATTCCCAGTGAACAGAATGTTCTAAAAATGGAAATCACAGTGTGTCACTTCTGAAAACAGGTCATAAAGATTTGATATTTGCATTTCCCCTCCCCCACAAGACGTAAGGAATACTCTTCAAAAAAGGGGGCCAGAAAGAGTGTATGAATCAGAGGTTAGGAAAAACGTCCAGCCATGTTGATTGTGTTGATTTTGTTCAGATCATGTGTAGGCAACCACAGCTGCTGTGAGTTTATAGGTCCAACAGCCAGGTCAGGTCTTTTTTTTTTTATCAACTCACGGGAAGCTGGCTGCCACTTCATGAAGGAAAAATTCAGGCAAGCCCAGCCTCTGCTGAGACTTCACATGGTTACAGCCCTAGCCAATATCTCTACCACACCGGTGGGTGGTGACACAATGCCTTTAATCCCAGCACTCGGGAGGCAGAGGCAGGAGGATTTCTTTGAGTTGGAGACCAGCCTGGTCTACAAAAGGTAGTTCCAGGACAGCCTCCAAAGCCACAGAGAAACCCTGTCTCGAAAAACAAAAACAAAAAACAAAACCAAAACAACAACAACAACAACAACAACAAAAAACAAAACCAAACAATATCTCTACCACAATCTCATGATCCCAACCATCCATCTCAGACACTTCCAGATTCCCAGTGCTTGAAAGCTGTGTCACAGTAGCTGGTCATGGTCTTAATTTGTTAAAATAAATTTGTCACATGGCTGTAGATAACACAACGATTATTAGATACACCTTCATGTTCTCTAGGAAGTTTTCAAACTCGCAAGTATTGGGAACTGGAGAAAACTGTTCTCCCTAACAAAGGGTTTTAGCCTCCTGTGGTTGCTATAACAGAACACCATGACAGAACACACAAACAGCAAGAATCCATTTCTCACAGTTATAGAAGTTGGACAATCTAAGACCAAGACACTGGCAAATTTAGTTCCTGGAAAGGATGATCCATTTCCAGGTTAATAGGTGGTCATCTTCTTGCTATATTCTCACATAGCAGAAAAGGTAAGGGAGCTCCTAGGTTCCCTTCTATGAAGGCAATAATCTCGTGTGTGTAGGCCCACCCTTGGGACCTAGTAACCTCCCAAACCCCATACTATGACACTATGACATTAGGTTTTTAACAGATGGGCTTTAGAAAATGTTCTAATTTCTCTTGTGTTGCTGTGGTAAAACTCTCTGACCAAAAGTAACTTAGTAAGGAAAGGGTTTATTTGGCTTACACCATACAGTCCATTACTGAAGGATGTCAAGGCAAAACCCAAGGCAAGAAATAGCACTTTCCACAATGGTCTGGACCCTCCTATTTTAATTAATAATTAAGACAATCCCTCATAGACATACCCATAGGTTCATCTGTTCTGGGCAAACTCTCAGTTGAGACCCCTTCTCAGGTGACTCTAGGCTGTGTCAAGTTAATAACTGAAGCTAACCAAGACTGAGGGGTTGGTTAAAAAGAAGATATTTGTCTTCCCAGATGACTCATTCTGAGTATTTTATAAGAAAAGACAAAGATCTTCACATTTTGGTAAGAAATCTCCCTTTGAAAAAACAAAAGAAAAATTGTAAAGAACAGCAGCAACAGCAAAGCATGGCACAGCTTACAGACTGAGAAAAACATTTTTCCAGAGTACTACCGATTTCAGTCATCTGGGCTAGGTGCCTATATAACCAAGTTAAACAGCCACAAATTGAGTGGCTTACCACCAACATGCTATGGTTTCTACAAACAGACCAAAATCTCATTCTATCTGTGTTTTTCTGGGGTTTATTTGTTTGTTCACAGTGTAAAGATAGGAAGGACATCATAAGAAGCTTAATTAGTGCTATAGGTAGTGCCAGTCTATAAGGGCTTTACAGGATATTCAAATTCCCTTTCTGTTGCTGTGATAAAATACTCATATAAAGTTAGATAGAGGGGTTATAGCCAACCCTATTTATTATTGATAAGAATATGGAAGAACTGACAATAGATACGAATTGTTGTTGTTTCTGGTGTGAGTTCTGTTGCTGTGATAAAATACTCTGGCTAAAAGCAACTTGGGGGAGAACAGGTTCATTATGGATTGTACTTTCAGATCACAGTCCATCTTTAAAGACAGGCAAAGAGCTCAAGACAGGAACCTGAAGGCAGGATCCATAGAGTAAAGCTATTTGCTGGCTTGTTCCTTGGTTTTCTGAGGTTCCTGTTTGGCTGGCTTTCTTATACAGCCCAGGGCCACCTGAATAGGGATGGTACCACCCACAGTGGGCTGAGCCTTCCTGCATCAAATAATAATCAAGATAACATGCCCCTGGGTCAACCTCATCTAGGCAATCCTCAAGTAAGGCTTTCCTCCCAGAAACAGAGAAGATAATGGAGAAAAGATAAGCATATGTAGCTTCATGGGATTCTAGCTGAAGCCCAAGATCTGGGGTCCCTGCTTGTGGTCAGCAGCAGGGACACCCAGCAGGTCTAGAGGGGTTACCTAGGAAGCCCAACACAAGACTCCACAGAAGAAAGTAAAACCCATCTATATGGCTACAGGTCAGGGGCTTGGTCATACTCAATTTTAAAAAGCCACCATCCATCAACAAGCTGGAATCACTTGCTGTTAGTGTCATTCAACCTGTCACATTGTCCTGCTTCCTTCAATACAATATGGAAGGAAGGGAGAAAAGGACTCAGAATGATGAGGAATTGACATCTAGGAGCAGAGAAACAAGTATCTAGCTTTAATAGGCAGGAATATCTGGGCTCTCATTGACTAGGTGGTTGTGGAACAGGTACCTAACTCTGATAAGATGGTGAGTATATGGACTCTTATTTGAGTGATTGTGAAGCAGGTATTTAGCTTTGATTAGAAGTGTGGTGGGTATGTGAACTCTCATTGTTATGGTTATGGAGCAAGTATTTGGCTTTGATAGGCAGGACAGTGGGTATCTGGACTCTCGTTGGCCAGATCTTTGTGGAGCAGGTGCCTGGCTCTTCTTCTGATTCTTCCCAGCCCCTCTCCTCTGGACTACATCATGACTATCACTGAATGCCTGGTCTAAATCTCATGAAATTTTCCTCAGCTGGGAATCTGTATTGGTTCCAGTATGTGACCAGGAACCATTCCCACACTTTAAAGGTTGAAGGTAGTGAAGGAGGGGACTGGAGAGATGGCTCAGTTGTTAAGGGTGCTTGCTGCTCTTTGAGAGGACACAAGTTTGATTCTTTGGCAGCTCACAAACACCCATTAACTCTAGCTCCAAGGGAATCTTCCAGCCTCCAAAGGCACCTGCATACACATAGCACATGCATGTGCGCACATGCACAGACACAGACACACACACACACACAGACACACAGACATACAGACACACACACACACACACACACACACACACAAATGAATCTTTAAATTAGTAGAGAAGAAAACCCAGGTTGCTTATCATTTGGTAGAAAAAGAAAGTCAGAAAAATTTTATTGAGAAAATTTGCTCTAGGTGTTGTCCTAAGCTCAGAAGACACAGAGGGTATAAGCATTGAAGAGACACAGTTACTGATCTCAGGGATTTCCAAGCTGAACGGAGAACAGATGTGACAGCTCTATTCCAATTGTGGAGAGCAATAGCATGATCAAGTATACACAGCAGAGGGTACTCTCAATAGCTAACTCATCCTGAGAGTAAGTAAAGGCTTTACAGAAGAGGAGGCATTTCAGTTGGTCTGTAAGGGATGAAGAGGAGTTTTTTGGGCAAACATGGGTCTAAGCATCCTCCCCCCATTAGCAGAATGAGACAGTATAAAGTGACCCTACAGACTGAGTAAATTCAAGGCGGTTGGACAAAACTGGCCTAGGATTCTTCTCGTTAAACAGTGATGCAAGTGAGGCATCATACAACCACAGTTTAGATTTTATCACCATGGGAACGATACCTTTCAGCATGTTTATAAAGGGTAGATTGCCTTAAATGATCCAGCCTGGCAGAACTAAATTCCATTCCCCCTCATTTACAAAATGTAAGCAACACATTCAATGTTCTCTGGGAAAAAATAGCTATTGTCATTGGGGGTGTAGACATGTTTTAATCTGTGATGACAGTCTGTGTTGAATCACTCACCTCTCAGATCGTATTGAACCAGGCATTGGGGTGGGTGGCTTCTTCCAGCCTGCTGTTGTGTTGAGCATAGTCTCTCAGCATCGGGTGCCTATGGGCTTCTGCTCAGTTTACAGAGATGCCTAGGGGGCAAAGGACAGTGGCCCGCAGCTCCTTCAGACATGGGCTTTACATGGCCTTCTGTCTCCAAACTATATTACCCTAGGGGTTAATTCTTCTTGTTTATGGATAACAGCAGCCTCAAAACTCTTGGTACAACTAAAAGTCCCAGTCTTTTTCCAAAGCAGAAGCATGACACCCACAGGCAGGAGTAGCAGATAAGACAGGAAAACACAGCGGCCTCCTGTGGGCTGACAAGGAGCCTTGGGTATTCCCATGGGCTCTAGGATGGTACTGTTTGTTAATCTCTGGCAGAAGCATGGTTTGCATGGATAGGTACTTCTCTATTCCCTATCTCAGGCATTTTCCCAAGGAAAGTGTGCTCATAACAGATAAAGAAAAAATGATCTAGAAAGAACTATGCTTGTGAGATGACTCAATGGGTAATGTGGTTAAACGTGCAAGCATGCCAACCTGAGTTCAATTCCCCAACTATATATACAAAGCCATTATGGGAGGCACTGCATTTGTAAGCCCAGTGCTGGGGAGGTGGAGTTCACTGGTCAGCCACTCTAACCTACTTGGCAAGTCCAAGGTTTTAGGGAAATAGCTTGTCTCAAAATAAGGACAGAATTACCAAGGAATAATACTCGGTGCCATCCTCTGACTTCCATGAGCACACACATACCACCAAATCTCCCCAATACACGCACCTATATGCATATTGTCACACATATACACACACACACAGAGAGGAGGGATTATGTAGAGGGAATGGTAGTACTGAGACAGAAAAAGCAGCAGGGGATGGATGTGGCAGGTTCCCATAAAGCTTGCTGGTACCTATAATCAACATGTGTCATTGAATCTGAGACATTCATCTCAGAGCCTCTCCCAAGAAGATCCTGCCATAGCCAGCTTCTCTAACCTTCTTTATCACCAGGAAGCCCTTCTGCACCATATCCCTGACAGAGGATCCACACTCTGCTTTGATTATCTCCAGACACAATAAACTCATTAGCTCACAGCTTATTCTCTCTGCAGGGAGGAAGCTCTTTCTCAGGCAGAGAGGAAAGTTAGCATGCAGCCACTTCTGTCCACTAATCCTAAGTCTTTGGTTCCAGGAGCTCTATAAGAGATGATTTGGGAAGCTGCCTTGGGCATGCCGAGTCCTCCCATCCAGACATTGTAGAATCCCAGGTCTTCAAGCCATCCACATGTATCATGTGTGCTTGCCAACAGGTCAGATGCCTGTGGAACTCCGGTAAGTTTCCACAGAGTCTTAGTGGAGACTTGGAATCCTGTCTCCTTCTCCTTGTTCTCCTGCCATGGCAGAGAGAGGCTTTGGGAAGGATGCTTCATCAGGCAGACAGCTGCCTCATCTTCCCCGCTCTGCAGCTGGAGTCATTTCTCTGTCTCTTTGCAGACTCTGTTGATGGTTGTGCCTGGCTCAGGAGACTGCAGTAGTCTGTGGTCTGAGGAGGGCAAGGTTTCTCAGTGTCCCTCACTCCTGACAATGAGAACAGTGCAGAGGACTCAACCCTGCTTCCAGCAGCTATACTGCTCCTAACCCAAATGACAGAGGACGTCTGTTCAGGACTTGGGTCGTTGTTCCCAGAGCACACTGTGCAGGAGGCAGGAGACAGGAGCCACTGTCAGGCAGCTTGGCTTCTTAGAGGCTAGATGACCAAATGGATGAGGAGCTGATGCCCAGTCACTTGCCTGGCTGCAGGGGAGAGATCATCCAGGGCTCTCCAGAAAACAGACTCTTCTCTTCTGGAAATGAGTGTCAAGAGGAATGCATAGCAGGGAACCAATTATCTCTGTGCAGGACATCAAGGATGGCATTAATCACTGAGTCCCCTGGGGACAGGGGTGGAGCCCAGCATCAGTGTGCTGCCTCTGCCTATACCATCACCTTCCGAGGGCAGAATGGTGGGTATGTTAGCCTAACCACAGCTACTTCAATTACTTTTATTTTTGCTTACTCCCTCCTAGGGAAATCAAGCACCCGTGGAATTCAGAAAAGCAGGGCAGATAGGAGCAGAATGAACAAAGACTGGCGTGAGCCTGGCTCCAAAGGATCTAAGGGTCAATAGTGCCCAGGGAATTGAGTCAAGCAGTCACTGGCTTAAAGAGGGTCACATGGATGAAAGTGGTTCACTTGATCTGTACTGCAGGTTCACCCAAACCCAAACTCTGGATTTTATCTCCAGTCATGAGGCCTACACTGTAGTCTCCTTCAAACAGAACCTTCCCTAATCCTCTAACTCAGACTTCATCTCAGCTTTCATAGCCTAGATGCCCCCTGCTTCTCCTGGACCCTCACTTAACCTTGCTTCACCCTTGCTTCACTAGCTATGACTGTACTTTGACTGCATGCCTTCAACTTGACCACACCAAGCCTGCACCAATCTAGCGCTCAGCAGCACTGTCTTTCTTCCAAGCCCATAGTCAGCCTAGGTCTGCTGACAGTGCAGACAATCTATCAGCAATGCCCACCACCTGCCCCCTTATTGCTGGGACACAGACAAAACCACATAACTGTTTTACTGTGGCTCCCTCTTCATGCAAATACATGCCACATGACCCAGACTGCTTGCTTCCTAGAGACACCTGAACAAAGAGGAGCCTGACTTCATTCCCAGGTGTGCCCAGGTGGAAGATCACCGTGTCTGAGCTCTGTCTGCTTTGTGCAGGGTAGTGGGAGGTGATTTTTTAAGCTATGGAGGAAACAAAGCTTTGTTGCTGTTAAAAATCATCTGATTTGGTTCAAACTGGATTCCAATTGTTCATGGAAAAAATACAAAAAAAACCCCACTAGGGCTATGCTTATCTCCTCAGCAGAGAGCAGTTAAATCCCTCCTTTCAAAGTGAATTTGGATAGAAGAGTTTGGAAAGCATAGGAAAGGCTTCAAGGAGGAGGTCCTGGTCTCTGCTGATGAGACAGGGCCTGGTGTGTATGCTTCACAGAGGTACTTAGGATTTAGAACAAAAGAGAGCTATAGAAAAGAAAAGAGGGCTTTGCACATATGTGTGTGTGCATGCACGCACAAGCATGCATGTGTGACACTGGTGGGGTTAAATCTCAAAGGTTTGCAGAACACAGGAAAAGAGTATTTTCTCCTTAGGAAAATTAGAGAGAAGCCTTGAATGCAGATGGAGAGTGGGAGCCCTCTGAGGGTTGCTTTTTTATTTCATCTGTAAGCTGGAGAAGTGTCCTTTCAATGCCTACAAGCTATCAGAGGAAAAGAGAAAAAGTTAACATCTCTTGAGGACAGGCAAAGTCAAGATCAATCACGTTGTGATGGGTAAGGGTTACATTAGGGAGGGGACTGGTACAGTTTTAACCTAGTGGGCATACCTTTCTTCCATCCTTGTCTGGCTCCGTGCATGTCTGTTGTTCTCAAGTCTGCAGCCTTTCAGATACCCAACTCCTAACCTCATATTTAGCATCTTCACCATGGTGCCAGATGAAAAGAGGAACATCCACAGTGTCACTGGACCAGAGCCTAGCATCTCATCTGGGAAGACTTCTACCAAAGAGATTAGAGCATTCTATCTAGACCTCAGTATACAAACATTTCCCCATAATCTGCCTCTATTGTGACTTTCTTATTGTGAATAACTTTGTGACTTATACTGTCAGTTCAATAAGAACTATATCAAAGCAACGAAGAGGTCACTCTGTTATGGTTTGAATGTAAAATAATTCCCTACAGGCTTGGGTATTTAAACACTTGGTCTCCAGCTGGTGGTAATGTTTGAGAGAGACTGTGGAGCCTTTAGGACTGTGGCCTAGCTAGCAGAATTGAGTCCCTGGTGAAAGGCCTTGAGGATGATAGCAACTTCTGTCCAAGTACTGTGCCTCCTGTTTGTTGTTGTTACTGAGATGTGAGAAAACTTTTAGCCATGGGCTTCGATTTCCCAGAACTAGCTGCAAGTCATACTTTAGCCATAGTGGTGGACTGTATTCCAGAAACCATGGGTCAAAAATGGTTTTGCTGCTTCTGTCAAGAATTTTGTCACAGGGACCAGAAAGTTAGCTAACATACTGCCTTTGAAAAATATGGCCACTAGTATCTAAGGAGATAGCTCAGGCAGTAAAGTGCTTTGCATTGAAAGCATAGGGACTCACGTTTGGAGACCCAGCATCCACACAGAAAGTGAAGCATGGCAGTGAACACCTGTAATCCCTGAGCTGGGAAGGAGGAACCTGAAGGTTTCTGGCTAGCTAACTTAGCAGAGCTGGCAAGCTTCAGGTACAATGAGAGACACTGTCAAAAGTAGAGTGAGTGACTGAGAAAGACATTGATGCTGACCTCTGGCCTCCACATGCATATGTATACACATACACATACACATGTGCACATACACACAATTTTCTCAGTCTCTATCATGGGCCAGACATATAGGCTGGGGCAGTGGCTGCTGAGATGAGAATGATAAACCCTCCCCCTGAGTAGGAAGGAAAGATCATCATGATGACTGCAGTTCCAAAGAAGCTCAAGTGTATCACAATAACAGCTCAGCCATTTACTGTTCCTTACCACCACACTGCAGGGAAACATCCAACCATTCTGTCTCCTTAGGGCTAACTATATGAAACGCACTAAGACCTGGAAAATACTATAAAACACTGATCATTCCAGCCCCATTCCCACCTTCAAAGTCACTTACAGTAATGCTCTGCTACCTGGATGCAATTTCAGCTGCACTAAAGGGGGCGGGGGGGGGGGGCTCCAAATGCCATACTATTGCGGTGCAATAAAGGCAAAATGGAACACTGGAGGGCCATAGGGTTAAAATGTCATAAAAGTTGGGACAGGATATCAAAATAATATGGCCAAAGCCATTTTCTAAAATCATAACCATCAAAATAAATGTGATAATCTCAACACATGGGGGATTTCTGAGATGAAAACCTTCAAACAAAAAGGACTTCTCAAAGTCAAATACAGGCCAGGGTCATCTCAGCCAGCAGGTGTCCTGTGACTGACTGCCTTTCTGGGATACCCAGGGTCTCATCGGCTCTGCAGGAGGTTGACTCCAGGAGGCATAGTGTCTGGGGGTGCAGAGGTGAGAGCCCTTGGGATGGCGGGACCAGAGTGTTTACCTAGCACAGTCACAAAGTGCATAGCTGAAAAAAGAATCTAATCAGAGTCAGGCGGGAGCCAGCTCAAAGCCAAACTGCTGATCCTACAAGGGTGTAACAAATCAGCACCTGAGTCCTGGGAACAAATTGGGATTCTTGACATGACTGGCCAGGCAAGGAGGTAATACTAGGTGAGAAGTGCAGGAGGCTCTGTTGGGGCTGGCTTGGAGGCAAGGGTGGTATTACAGACCATCACCCCTGCTGGGAGTCATGTAGCTTTCTGATAGGTGAAGCCAAAGGCTGAGGCAGAAGACCCACAAGCACCCCCCACTCCTTTTACCAAATGATCCCTGGAGGAAACAGACCAGGCAGCTATTGCAATGAAAAGGGAATTAAGGAAGCCACTTCCCCTGCCCCAGGATTTTTACCCCTGCTAGGGCAGAACCCCTTTACCTTTGGCACACATGTCCCTGCTTTGCAGGATCAGAAGGAAACAGCAAAGGCCATGGAGCTTCAGCTTCATTCATTATTATTTAGAAAAGGCTCTGCAGAATTTCTCAGAGTCAACTTCATGGGGCAGCCAGTCAATGCTGCAAGATGATTCATGGGGCAACAGAGCAGGTTTTCTCATGGACACTGTCACTGAAGACAGTCAGGAAATATGGCAGGGTGGAGAGAACACATAACTCTACATGGCCCCTGAACTTATCAAACCCACGGCCTGGTAGAAGAAGGAAGGCATCCAAAGAGGAGATGATAAGACTAAAGCAAAAGGCACCAAATCCCTCAGGAATATATGAGCCACTGCAAACCAGACAAGAAAGAATGAGTCGTGGGAGAATTCCTAACTGTCTGTCAGTTGGAGTGGAGCCCAGGCTCAGCCATTTACTCCTTGATCAAGAACACCCTGGGTTCCCTGTGGGATTCGCTATGCCAGAAACACAGCCACTCTCCCTGGGGGATTTACTTGGGATGGCCAGAGAAAACATATAAGAAAGAGAATACAAATGTAACCATCTAGGTAGAAATGAATGAACACATTCTAAAGAAATTGTGTCCCTCCTTTCTGCTATTAGATTATTTGAAGCAATGGACCCTGCAAAATTTGCATTCCCCCAGGAATCTCACACTGGGAGAAGGAAAAGACTGGGTCCTTGGTACCAGCCAGA